AAAGTCAAAAATTGCCTTAGTTTCAGTTGAGTTGGTTGACTGGGTCAGTTCCTTAACTGGCCCTAGGGAGGATAAAGAATTCACAAGAAGGGTGTTCACAGTGTAGGGCAGCATGGTGGCACCACCCGCCTTGTGTGGGTGGCCTCCCTTAAATTTGCAGATTTCCTCACTACTAGTATTTCCTCTAAGGTGAGTCATCACACCATCCAACACCATAGGAGGAGAATCTGGAGTAAGTCTAGTATTTCTTAGGCTACTGATAATAATATTCAAAAACAAGCAATACATGAGAAGACTAATGACTAATGTTATTAGTCATTTCTCTAATGACTAATAACATTATTAGTCATTAGAAAAATTCAAAGTAAAACCATGAGTTACCACTTTATACTAACTGGGATGGCTATCATATAACCTTAATTAAAAAAATAAAATACTATAGGTAAGGGTGTGGAAGAATTGGAACTCTTATCCATTGCTGGTGGGAATATAAAAAAAAAAAGTTGGTTGGGCATTGTCCTGTGCACCAGGAGGTTGCCAGTTTGATTCCTGATCAGGGCATATGCCTGGAGTTGTAGGCTTGGTCCCCAGAAGGGCATACAGGAGGCAGCAGATCAATATTCCCCTCTCACATTGATTTTTTTTTCTCTCTCCCATGTCCTTCCTCTCTCTCTAAAATAAATAAAAAAACTTTTTTAACAAGTTAGTATATGATCCAGAAATTCCATTTCTAGGTATAATATATAACCAAAAGAATTGAAAACAAGAACTCCAACAAATACTTATACACGAATGTTCATAGCTGCATTATTCACCACAGCCAAAATACGACCCCAATGTCCATGAACGGATGAAGGAATAAACAAAACTGTGGCTCCTACATACAATGGACTATTATTCAGCTCTAAAAGGAAAAAAGCACTGATACATATTACAATGTGGATAAATCTTAAAAACATGTGCTAAATGAAAGAAGGCAGACAAAAGGTCACATATGATATGACCCCACTTACATGAAATACTCCAAAAGGGTAAATCTATAGAAGCAAAAAAGAGATTGGTGGCTGCTGGTGTGAGGGAGGAAGAGAATGGGAGTGCCAGTTTGAAAGGAATGAGTTTTATTTTGGAGTGATAAAAATGTTTTGGAACCCGAGAGAGGTGGTAGCTGTACAACATGCGAATGTTCTAAGTGCACTGAACTGTTCACTGTGAACCGCTTAATGTTATGGCACAGGCAAACCCTGTGGATACTGAGCTTCAGCTCCAGACTCCCACACTAAAGGGAATATTTCCATAAAGGGAGCCACACAAATTTGTTTCCCAATGCATATAAAAGTTCTGTTTACACATAGTACTTTATTGCTAAAAAGAAGAAAAAAAAATGCTAACCTTCATCTGAGCCTGTTGGGGAAATGGTGCCGGTAGAATTGCTCTTTGAAGGGTTACCACAAACTTTCAATTTATAAGAAAATGCAACATTTGCAAAGCGCAATAAAACTAGGTATGCCTGGCCGAAACCGGTTTGGCTCAGTGGATAGAGCATCGGCCTGCGGACTAAAAGGTCCCAGGTTGGATACCAGTCAAGGGCATGAACCTTGGTTGTGGGCACATCCCCAGTAGGGGGTGTGCAAGAGGCAGCTGATCAATGTTTCTCTTTCATCGATGTTTTTAGCTTTCTATCCCTCTCTCTTCCTCTCTGTAAAAAATCAATAAAATATATATTTTTTAAAAACACACAAGACGGTCGGACCTGCATTACCACCATTTGTCCACCAACCAGATCTGAAATATCATGGCTGGCATGTACACATAAGGAACTATCTGGCATTGAAATTGGGACTCAAAAGAACTGTTGGCCCAGAAAGGAACTCACTACAGACTGATTCATTTGCCTCTCAGCATAACCATTATGGCTTGTCGCAGTTTAGGTTCTTACAAGGGTATTTCTTGGATCACATGATCTCACACATCTAGAGGAAATGATGAACAACATAAACAGACCCAGAGAAGAGAAGCAGCAATCAGACTTTCAAACCTCAGAGGGAAAGTAAGGAAGAATGGGGGTAAGGGGAAGAGATCAACCAAAGGACTTGTGTGCATACATATGGGCCTAGCCAGTGGCCATGGACAACGGTTGGGGGGGAGAAGGGAAGGCATATCTAGGGAGGGGTTTGGGATGGGAATGGGGAAATAAGGACAATTATGTGAGACCATAATCAATAAAATAAAAAATAAAAATAAATAAAAAATTTTTAAAAAATGAGATATGCCTTCATAGGAATTTCACCTTGATTTTTTTTTTTTTTTTAAATGTCAACATGTAAGGAAAACAAGACATAACAGCTGCCAGGTGGGTTTTCAGATGCTGCCAGCCTTTGCCGGAGCCTTGGCAGGCAAAGGCAGCGACTTCTCTGACTCTGACTCTACCTATAATTCACACCAGCTCTGCAGCCTGCGATGTCAGTCCCACCGAGACCCCTTTCTGTGCTGTGGCTTCAGCCCCGCTTTGCTGAGTACCGAAGAGACTCGTGGAAATAGAATAGCCTTTCCTTAACCAGAAGGTCAAACTTACACCTCAGCGTTTTTAAAAGCTTATGCAGGTAGATTAGCATACAAAGGTAGAATACTTCATGTCAGACCCCAGCTCACAGCCATGGAAAGGGCTCCTGTTTGTAGATGAGAACTCATAAATGTTTAAAACTAATTCTACCTAGAAGTTTCAGCTTAATCTTCATAAATAAATAACAGCAGAAGGAAGTGGTGATAAACTGCCCTCTGTTCTAATTTTAAAATGTGAATAATTAACCTTCCAGGAAAAGGTGCAGAATGTTAAGAGCAGTTCAGTCCAATAAATGTCTAATTTGGGACTGGATGGGCACTGCTAGAGAGGCTCTGGCCTGATTTATTGCGGCAGCAATTCCCACGGGAGCAGTCATTTCTTCAGCTCAACTGCTGGAGCAGGAGTGCCCGGAGTCCTGCTTCCAGCACCTCCATGCTGGGCAATATTGATTTTAATGGGGATTTGGCATGTGTAAAAGGCATAAAAAGTTCACATTTTTGCTACATCAAATTTTGTTACCCAGAAGGCTAAGTGACTACCGATTTCATATTTTAAAAATCAGTCGATGGAGTGTTGGCCTGCGGACTGAAGGATCCCGGGTTTGATTCTAGACAGGGGCACATGCAAAAATCACTTTCTCCCAGGCAGAACTGCTAACACTTAGAGATTATTTCTTAAGCTTTACGTCATCTAGAACTAAATACATAATTTTTATCATTGTACCCAACTATACAAAAGTTTTTGTTCAGCAGTAGCCCTATGAGAACAAAAGTCGGTCCGGACAGTTTGGCACGGAGCTGTGATACCTGCCCCAACCTCTCCAGGGGAGTCTTTCTCCCAAAGTATCCCGAGAAACGTTTTTTTAAAGTGTCACTTTAAAAAACAAACTAAATAACATAGTGATCGGTTCTAAATAAGGAGGCGTCAGGATGTCCGCATACTGGTAACTGCCCCAGTGTAAGTTACTTACTGATTACCCTGATTACTTTCTTTTTACATGAGGGAAAGGAAAAATGGAAGAGGAAGAGGAGGAGGAAGGAGAGGAAGAGAAAGGGAAGGAGGAGAAAGAAGGAACAAGAACCACATTAAGAGGGCCATCTGGTTTCTTGGTCCCAGAAGCAATTAGCACTGGAGGCAGAATGGACCGAACTGAACATCAACACCTGCTCTGGTTGGCCTTCACCAGCACAGGGTCCTGGCGCGTGCGCCTGACTTTCAGAAACCATCTGGATGGGTTCCAGCCCGACCTCTCCACGTAGAAGCTGTGACCCTGGATGAGTTAATTAGCTTCTCTGAGCCTTTTCTTCCTCATCCGATAGGAATGACCCCACCGAGCACCTGGAAGAGAGGCCTGAGTGAGAGAACCTGCTTTCATGTCTGTGCCGGCTGGAGGCACGTTGCTTCTCCCGGGTGTGAGGCCCTAACAGCTTAACCTGTGTGCAGGGGTTCAGCCTGAGACACCCCAAGAAGGGCCTCTCTGGTATGCAAATTATTTTGAGCTAAAGGCAACCAAAATGCTTCAAGGGAAACTTCTGCCCTTCTCTCTCTTTAACTACCTAGATTACAATAACTTGAATTAGGGGCCTTGTCCATAATAGGAAATTATCAGAGATAACTTTTCTTAATCTACCTATTGGAGGCCCGGTGCACAAAATTCGTGCACAGGAGGGGGGTTCCCCACAGCCCAGCCTGCACCCTCTCCAATTGGGACATCCCTCTCACAATCCTGGACCACTGGCTCCTAATCACTCACCTGCCTGCCTGCCTGGCCACTCCTAACTGCCCCCCCTACTGACCTGGTCACCCCTTACTGCCCCTCCTGCCAGTCTGGTTGCCCCCAACTGCTCCCCTCTGCCAGCCTGGTTGCCCCTAGCTGCCTCCCCAACCCCCGCCAACCTGGTCGCCTCCAACTGCCCTTCCACTGGCCTAGTCACCCCTCACTGCCCCCCCCTTCCAGCCTAATTGCTTCAACTGCCTCCCCTGCCAGCATAGTTGCCCCCAAATGCCCCCCTCTCTGCTGGCCTGGTCACCACACGCAGCCTGTTTGTTCAGTCATTTGGTTGTTCCTCACTAGCTCCTCTGCCAGCCTGGTCATAGGTAGCCATCTTATAAGGGATTGGGGGTTAATTTACATATTACCTCTTTATTATATAGATTAGGGCAGGACAAACTACTAATTATTGACTATCTGCTCTTCTCATCCTGCAATGACTCCCTGAAGCCCCCAAAGTGCCTTACCCCATCTTAGCTCAGAATGCCATATACGCCTCATTTTAACTTTCTGTCTCTGACCCTCTCATGTATGTGAAGGTTTGTCACTGATGTTCATGCTGCACCAGGGAAATCAGAGCATAGCCGATGCTATTGTACTTTTTATTAAAAAAACAAATTAAATAAAATAGTGATTGGTTCTATATAAAACTGAACCAGAGCCACTAGTTCATGGTGGGGAAGGCTGAGAAGAGGGAGACAAGGATGTGGCTACAGCAGATTCTTTTTCTTCGTATCTGGGAGGCAATTCAGACGAGAGATGTGGAGTGTGGGAGGTCTCAGAGGATGAAGGAGTCCCCGAGATGGTATAGATGGATACACGCTCTCTCTCAGAAGCTGTGCCTTGGCCCTCAGGAGCTGGGGTCCTGCTGAAAAGAGAGAGAGAACATGAGAGGGAGGAGAGGGAAAGAGTAACACGCCTTAAGGAGAAGGTTATTTTCAAATGTGCAAGGACCTAAAGAGTCATTTTTTCACATTCTATTATTTATAGACTAGAGGCCCAGTGCACGAAATTCATGCAAGAGTAGCCTTCCTTCCCCCAGATGCCAGCACCGGCTTCCCTCTGGCACATGGGACCTGGGCTTCCTTTCAGCACCCAGGACCCGGGCTTCCCTGGCCCCATGGCTTCATCTGGAAGGTCGTCCAAAAGGACATCCGGTCTAATTAGCATATTACTCTTTTATTATTATAGATATGTTTCCATTCCTTGACCCTTTCTTTCCTTAGAGCTGATGATAACATTGGGACCATCTCTTTCCTGTTGTCATTTCCTTTGTCATTGAAAAGACCTGGAGTGCAAGTGTACAGGTGCCGCCCACAAAGAGCGCACACACTGTTCTCTGCTAGTGTGTCTTCTGAGGCAGCTAACGTAAGGTAGACATGCAAATAGAAACTAAATCATAGGGCCAAAAACTTGAAGGAAGCAGGAAGGTATAGCCATTAACGGAGTGGGCTTTAGCATCAGGCAGACCTCATCTGAATTTCCACTCTGCTGCTTTCTAGCTGCGTGATGGCTAAGCCTCGGTTCCTCGTCTGTAAAATGGGGATCATGGTGCAGACTGCCTGACTTTGAGGATTATACAGGTAATGCAAGAAAAGCCTGCCTCTGTCACACAGAAATCATCACAGCAGCAGGTGCCGTTTTTTGTTATTGACGTTTTAAGTTAATAGACATTCACTTTAGGGCTTGGAAGAAGTTCATCATTGGAGAAAAGAGTAAAAAAGTCACTAACAGAATTCTACAAATGTCCAGACCCTAACCGCCCCTTCATCCCTGCAGGACGGTTCCTACACTCGTCTCTGGTCAGATCCCGCTGACCGCCCGTCTGCAGCACAGGAACATGCGCCTCAGAGGTGAGTGACCAGCCCGGGCAGCACCCATCCCCGCAGGCTCCCAGGAGCTCCCGTGCCCTGTTCCCACTGCTTTCAAAAATGCAGGCCCCAATGCTCAGCAGTCAGCTGTCACTGATCTGCTCACCCACTCACGTGCCCTATAGAACCTTCTGGCAGCGAAGATTTCACCTCCTGCATCCTGGTCGCCCATTCAGAAGGCACCAGGGCCTTTGCCAGCCCTGCTCCTCCCTGGCACTTCCCAGGACTCCTTCCTGTAACGCCTGCCCGTGTGTCCTCCTCAGATCATTACACCGCTGCCCTCCTGCCTCAGCAACCTCTTCCCAGTTCCATCTCTCTGTCCAGGCCTAGCCACTCAGACTACATGCCCCTTTACCACAAGCCTGGGCACCATCTTCTCCCGCTTTCCCTGAGCTCAGCACCTCCTCCTCTGCCAGGGACAGCCACTGTCCCTGTCACTCCCCTTACATGACAATCTCTGCTCCTCCTCACTGTCCTCTCCATCCCAGTCCCCCCATCACCAGCCCCCTACTCACCCCCACAGTCTGGCTCCTGGTACCTCAGCCTGTCCATGAGACTCAGCGCCTTCCCATCTGGCCACGGCCAGCCTTTCTCATCATGAACTATGCTAACCAAGGCTCCGAGCCCCAAACCTCCAACTGCTTTGCTCTGCCTGAAGAAAAAGCCCTTAGATTTCTGCTCTTTAATCTGACCACATGCATGCTTCCTAATTTGTGGCACATGGGGAGCACGGGGATGGGGGATCATCAGTTAATCTGAGAGGCTCTGAGGCCAGGGAACAACTTAATATTGGAGGGGAAATGCAGCTTGGTCAGGTCAGGGTGCAGGTGACTTTAGCTGATCACTCAAGGACATCCATTAGTTACTAACACCTTCCATATCTACAGGGGGTGGCCTGGGACCTTCACACCTCCCTACAATCTAAAGCAGCCAGCAGGGGCCTCCGGAGCCCAGCTCCGTTTGGCCGACGGGCTGTTAAACATTGTGAGGGCCACCCCTGCCAGGAGCACAGAAGAATGCCTGGAGAAGGCTCCACCTTCATCTGGCACAGCCACTTCTATAATTGTTAACTTAGGTGCTGCCCAAAGTTTCCTAAAAAGTACTGTTAATATTAGGCAATGATTCTGACATGGCATCGGCAAGAAAAGATACACTCTGATGTTTACTGCTTCTGTACCTCAGCCTCCAAGCTCATCTGGCCCCAAATGAGGTACAGGCCTGCAAAGATGAAGATGCTACTCTTGAAGTTCAAAGGCAAAGTCTTACCCATAGTTAAAAATACTGTAATATGAAGGCGGACTTTCATTTGGAAGCACACTGTCCGCTCCTGGACTTCTGGTCCCGGCAGAAGCTGAAGACTCAGGGAAGTAGGGCGGCGGAGGGGGCGGGAATATTATCACGGCGTCACCTAGGGAAACACACACAGTCTTGTTGAAGATGGGAAAGTAATAAGTGCAAACAAATTAGCACGCACTAAACAAATTACGTATTTGGCTCATCTATAGAAATAGTCAAAACACGTATGCCAACTCCAGCATCAAAAAGTGGTTTGACCAGATGTAGAGAGAGAGACAGAGGCCGCCAGGGGCTGGGGGCAGGGGAGATGGAGTCCCTGTTTGATGGGTGCCACGTTTCTGTTTGGGACGAGGAAAAGCTTCTGGAAATGGATAGTGGTGACAGCTGCACAACATTGTGAATGTACTCAATGCCACCACACACTTAAAAACAGTCAAAGTGGTAAATGTATGTTCTATATATCTTACCACAATTTTTTTTAAAAAAATAGTAGGCCTATCTCATTTCAAGTCTGAGCTAACGCATTTCAGTGGAGCATTTTCTAACTGTGTGCCTGCCCTGGGATGTGTACAGCTTTAAAGTTTTTCTTGTTTTTTACTTACAATTTATTTTCTTTTCTTTTTGTTTTATTGATTTCAGAGAGGAAGAGAGTCGGGGAGAGAGAAGGAGGGAGGGAGAGAGAGAGAGAGAAGGAGAGAGAGTGGGAAACATCAATGATGAGAGAGAATCATCAATTGGCTGCCTCTTGCAAGCTCCCACCCAGAATCAAGCCCAAAACCTAGGCACATGCCTTGACTGGGAATGGAATCGTGACCTCCTGGCTCATAGGTCAACACTCAACCACTAAACCACACCAGCTGAGCTTAACTTACATTTTTATTTTTATTTTTTTTAATATATTTTTATTGATTTTTTACAGAGAGGAAGGGAGAGAGATAGAGAGCTAGAAACATCGATGAGAGAGAAACATCGACTAGCTGCCTCCTGCACATCCCCTCCCGGGGATGTGCCCGCAACCAACGTACATGCCCTTGGCCAGAATCGAACCTGGGACCCTTCAGTCCGCAGACCGACGCTCTACCGCTGAGCCAAACCGGTTTCAGCTTAACTTACATTTTTAATTCAACAGAAGTTAGCTGTTGGATCAAGTGCCTTGTTCCTCAAATGCAGTTTCACCTCTGAACAGATTAGCTATCCTTCGTCCCATCATTGGCATCGCCATGGCTGTGGTTCATGCTCTTGTAGAGTCTTTACCTATCAATATGTCACCAAGCTTCACAAAACAAAGTCAAACTAAAAGAGAAGCTTGTTTTTAGCATTTCTAGCCAGTCACCTGTGTTTTGGGGAGGACCAGAAGCAAGCTCTAATCTGCATTTCCATTTCAAAAAAATATGCCACAGTAGTTACCCAGAGCACTCTGGCCCTGAGGCAAGCACCACTGCTCAGGGGTCTGAGGCGTCCTTGGAGAGCTGGCAGCATCAGCGAGCTCAGGAAGAATGAAGGAGGAGAGAGGCCCTCTCTGTGCACGGAACCGGGTTTGTGTTGGGCAGCAGATCTGATGCTTGCCTAGCCAGGGGCAGGATTCTTTAGAGCTCCAGGGTTCCATTTGCCAATTACCAACAAGTTACTGAACCCCTCTAGGCCTCAGCTGCCACATCTGTCAATTGTAGCCCATCCCTGAACCTGCCTAGGGGCAGGTAGGAGAAGTGGTTTCCGTGCAGCCATTAAAACAGTGCTGGGCAAAGAGCAAACCCTCTCAGTTGTCCCACGCCCTGCCAGCTGCTTTCTTCACCCTCTGCCAGCCTGTGGCACTTATTTGCATGTCTGAAGAAACACTCCCAACTGGCAGTCCTGGCAGTGGTTCCACTCGGCACCTGGTGCATGAACTCCACCGCGCCTAGCTGTTGGGGCTTACCTTGCTAACCTAAATTGATAAAGCATAATGCTCAGCTTTTCATTTTCTTCAGAAGGCCTGGGTAGATCAGAGGAAGTAAGGCTAAGTGTTCGCTTTAATTACACTCTGTAGAACATAGGACTTGGGAATGAACCTCTAAAGCAGGCCAGTCACCTATCAAACATCAAACACAAACAAGGAAATGTGCAAAACCAACAGTTATCTCTGGGCTAGTCCATCTGCCAGTCAGCTCCCAGCCTCCCACACTCACCGTCTGCTCTCAACAGGAAAAACGTCCACCCCGGGCTCCCCTGTCACTAGGCCCTGCAGGACCTGGTGTCCCACGTGACTTGGAATCATATACCCATCAAGGGAGGGTTGTCTCCTGTATCTGCTGCGTGTCCAGGCCCAGCACTGAGTATGTTCACAGATAGCACATCATTGGCTTCTCTCCCAGGGGGTGTAGGAGGAAGGGCTGAATTCCAGGATTGAGCCAAGAACTGTGCCTAATCACCCCAGTTCCCCTCAGAAGGCAGAACTGACCATTAGAGACCATGTCCAGAGGCTTATCAATTGTACTAAAAGTCTTGATTTCTAAAAGTTTTAACTCCATGCCATCATATCAAAGGAGAGAAAAACAAGGAGTTAGGGTGCCTGATTTTCACAGGTTTGATGGGATTGAAAGAGTTAAGTAGAAAATATTTTAAGAAACTATGCAGTGCCGACAAACATCAGGACAGAACTGCCCAGGGGGTAGAGTCCCACTACCCACTGCCCCCCACATTCCAGCCACCAGGACAGAAGCTGCCCCCAAACTCTCCTGATTGCAAACCCAAAGGGCACACCCCAAAACGTCCCCAACTAAGTGAATTGAGCATCCCATGAGGGTGTCCACATGGACCCCACTGTGCTCCCGAAAGGACTGAGACTGTCTATATTGTCTCATGGGACAACTACCCGGAACACTCGGTGAAGACAAAACCAGCAGAGACAGAACTCCAGCCCCTGCCCCGGGGAAGGTCCTGTACAAGGGCCATCGCATATGAGCGCCCGCCCGCCTGGGTTTGGATCCTGGCTCTGCCGCTCACTACTTTGTGACCTTGAGCAAGTTACTTAATATCCCTGGGCCTCCGTCTCTTCATCTCTAACATGGAGACACTAAGAGTATCTGCCTCAGTTGGTCCTCATGGAAGTGAGGGAATTTCACACAACAGGCTCTTGAAGAACACTAAGATGCGTGTTTAGCACAGGAATATATAAGCTTTACATATGTGTGAGCTGTTATTAATAGATAACTAATATTTGTGTTGTCGAGGTAGTATATAAATACATAATGAAATAAGCTGGGAGCATCAACGCTGGCTCAATGAAAGGACTGTCTGTAAGTCCATCTGCCCTTCCTCTCTGAGGCTGGTGCCCTGCTGGCCCACAGCCCCGGGACCGCCTGTCTGCTGGGAGCACTGCTGTCTCCGTATACAGCCCGGGACACAGGGAGCTCTCACTCGCCACTCGCCGCCTCTGTGCCCTCCATAGTCTCTGCTCTGCAGTTCTCCTTGCCTTGCCTTTTAGAGGTCACAGATGTGGCTTCAGAGCTTTCTAAAGGAGACTGAGGGAAACCACAGTACAGTCATTTGCATAAATGAGTAGCAACGGGGTTTTTTTCCCCTTGGTTGTGAAGCTGAGGCCAAAGTTACTGACATTGTCCTTGCGGGGGAGTGTGACTCTGGGAAATGGTAACCCATCTATTCAGCAGAACCCACGGGGCCCAAAAGGGATTACTAGGCATTCCGTGGGGGGAAGAAGGGACAGGTGTTGCCACATTTTGTCTTCATTTATGCCACTGCTTCCCAACTTTGCCCTAATCCTGAAGTTACAGAAAATAAAGAACAATGCAGAGAATAGAAGGCCCCCTTGACACATAGAAGACTGGTAGACTTGGGACAGACTCAGAATCCTGGGAAGCTGGTTCTGGAAGGAATCTTAGAAAGACTCCCTTTATGGATATATAAACCAAGGCCGTGAGAGGGTAAGGACTTAACCAAGGACAGTCAGCCAGTGACAGTCAGGGATGCAAACTCATGCGGCCAGCAATGCAAAGTGCCACAGGTTTTAGTGTGAGAATAACAGGGGGAGGAGGGTTGCTTGATAGGTCCCAAGGTGATAGAGGATTTGCAGGCTATCCTTGAGATTCTTTCCACTTTCCCCTAAATTTGCTCTGTGACATTGCTCAAGGTTACCACTCAATGTCCCAAAGCATTTGCTAAGTAATATGGAATTACTGGGGCAAAATGATGTATACATGGACTTCTTTGGTGTGTGTGTGTGTGTGTGTGTGTGTGTGTGTGAGAGAGAGAGAGAGAGAGAGAGAGAGAGAGAGAGAGAGAGAGAGAGAACAAACGTAGGCCAGACCCAGCCACTGTGATGTGAGCACACACAGGAATGAAGCCACGCACCTACAGTGACCTGCACAGGCTCCGTGTTCTGGGTCTGTCTCTCTTCGCTTTCAGGGGCATTCTGGCCCTCGTTCAAGTTGTTTCTCTTCTTAACATGGGCGACCACGAAGAAGCACAGTCCCATGAGCACAATCAAGGGTCCCATGATCTGCAGGGACAGGAATCCACAGATCTGGGGCTCCTCGTCGGCAGTGTCTGTCTCGTTCAGCGGCTCCTGCTCCCAGTCTGAGCCACAGCCAGGGACCCAAATGCCCAGTATGCTGATGAGCATGCCGCTGGTCAGGAACAGAAACCCAAAGATGAGGCACTGGGCAAACTGGCGGCTCTCCCCGCAGATGAAGGGTCGGTCGGGGTCTGCCCGGTGGCCTCTCCGGCGCCCCTGCCGGAACTGAAGCAGAGCCCGGGAGCGGGCCAGGATCACGGCCCCGAGCCCAACTGCGGCACACGCAGGCCCGGCGACCCTCAGCACCATGCTGCAGTCTGGGAGGGGTTTGTACTGGCACGCCTGGAACCCAAAGATGGAGAGCAGAACTCCCACAAACAGCAGGATGGCACCAAAGACGAACAGGAAGAAAATGAGTATGCTGACATGCCTGTCTCGCTGAACGCCATCTGCTGCTGGTTCAGCTGCTGCAGGAGACATGGCCAGAAGAGGCCCCCTCTCTGCAGCGGGGTGGGTGGGCTGTGCTTCCTTCCCTCCAGTGGTTGCCCCAGCTCTGCAAATAGAAGCAAACACCGAATTAAAGCGGGCACGGTGTTCCCGACCCACCTGTTCTTCTGCTGGCCACTGCAGGAATCGCACCAAGGTGAAGTCATGGGGAATAGAACTCCATCCAACCGCTCCACTGTAGAACAATGAGCTGGTTTATGAGTCAGGAGGACAGGCATTCAGAAACTCCTGAATAGTTAACTTGATGAAGGTATTCAAGAGGAAGAAATGCAATTACCATGCACCAAGAGGATCTTTAAAACAAATAAAACTCTCTACGGGGATGTAAAGTACAGCATAGGGAATTCAGTCAATAATATTATAATAACCATGTTTGCTGTCAGGGGAGTACTAGACTTATTGGGGGGCCACTTCATAAGCTATGTGTCTATGCTGTGCACCTGAAACTAATGTAATATTAAGTACAACAGTAATTTTTTAAAAAATTTTTAATTTTAATAAAATTCTTAAAAACCCATATAGCAAACATAATTGGGTGTGGCTTTTCCTGTTCTGAGCCTTACAAATCCACTCACCCAGGCAAACAAACAATGGCGAGTGAGGGAAGAACCACGGGGATTACTGCTGATTTACAGACACCACACATTTCATCACAGCGGCTCTGAGCGTTTCCATGCCGGTAAGTTTTTGTTCAGTCTAACTTTCCATTTCCTGTTCTAGACCCGCAGCAACTTTCCATCCCATGCTTCATTCTAAGGCTACGTCTCCAGGACAGCCACGTCCAGGAGTGTCAACGGCCTGGGAAGGCAGTTCAGGAACGCAGTGAGTCTAGTGGCTATGAAGTTAATTCTGTCCAAAGGTGATTCTTGAGTTCTCGCTCGGGGGCTTCCAGGGCCTGAAATCGGTGGCCTGGCGGCGTGGGCCTGGGATGAACCCGGGAGTGTGGCACAGCCGGCGGGCGGGCGGAGCCCTGTCTCACCGGTGGCCAGGCAGCCTCGGCCTCACCCTCCTTCGAGGTGCCACCCACTTCCACAAAGAGGCTTAGGTTGTTAAAAATAAGCAGCTGATAAAATCGCCAGTTAAACAGCAATAGAACTTGACTTTGAAAGAAGAGTACAAGTGAATCAAGTGGAAAAGCACTTTCCACAAGATCACCCCGCCCTGCTCTTCAAGGGTCTCACGTATTGAATGACGGGGCAGTTGGGGAAGAGTGGTCTGGTTTACGCAGTCCGCTATCCGGCTATCTCGTTTGCTCTCATGAATGGGATATTCAAGTCGGGGCGCTCAAAAGGACAATCTGAGGATGAAGACTGTCTTCACCGCTCAGAAAAGAAACCTTTTAAAGGAGCTTGTGCCCCTTGCCTCCGTGGTCTCAGGAAGGAGCTCAAGCCTGCAGCTCGGAAGCCAAGGCCATCTTGGCAAAACCAAATCACGGCCAAGTGGGGTCAGTTTCGGTAAAGAAAGCAAACGATCTGTCTTCCACCAGGAAGTAATTTTCCAGGAAAAATATGATAGAATCAAAAGGAAGTTGAAGAAAGAAGGCAATGCATGTTTTCATTTTTAAACTTGGAAGAACTACTTATGCAGATGCAGTTAAGCTGAGACAAACACTTCAAGGACTGTACTAACTTTTTTGTTTTTAAACGTCTGAATCATGTAATGCCTTTTGCTGGCCCCAGAGATGAGGAGGGTGAGTCTCTGCTACAAAGTCCTGTCAGGAATCCATTGTATTCCTGACGCCTTCAAATTTGAAGTGAGTGACAAGGCTTCAACCATCTAAAGGCAAATCCCCAAATACCAGTCAAGGAAATAGAAGCCCCAAACTGGATGTGCGCCTTCTTCCCCATGGCCTAATGGATTACATCCCTGGCATCTGTGTTCATCCCTGAGGCAAAACGGAGTGTGGGTGGTGGGTCAGTCTGTCTTATTCTCTCTCTCATACGCGAACCCACGACACACACAGACTAAGAGAAAGTTAAACCTTTTCTACATACCAACCTACCCCTAATTTCCCAAAGCCAAGTTCGCCTCCCTACCACTGTCCGTTTTCCAAAGGACATTTCCAAATGTGAGTTAGCAGCCCCTAACGACATCCAATGCTCTGGTGTGATCCGGGCCAGGAGAGGAACTGTCACTTATGGGAAGTAGCTCCGTGGATGTTGGGGAGCCTGAGAGCGCGTCTCCCCGGGCGCAGGTCAGTGCGCACCCGGCCTCGGCGGGAGCCCCGGGCAGATCGCTTACCTGAGACCTGGTCCCTCGCGCCGCCTGCTCCGGGGCGCCCCTCAGAGCCCGCTCCGGCCTCGGGGTGCGCGCCCCGCTCACTCCCACCTGCGGGCGGCGCCGCTGTGTTTGCAGGAGGAGGCGGCGCCGGCGCCGGGAGGCGCGGGCAAAGGCAGGGCGGGCTGGCGGGCGCTGGCTGCCACCGGTGCTGCCCTCGGGGCGGGAGGCGCCCAAGCCCGGGGACGCGGGGCGAGGGTCCGCCAGCGCCCGGGGCCTCGGGGAGCCGGGGCGGCGATCCGGGGTCTCCTCCTGGCTGATTGGGGGGGTCTCCTCCTGGCCGGCTGACCTGCGCTGCGCCCGCCGGGACCCCGCAGCGGGGAGGGAGCGGGTTTCCTCCGGAGCCGGGTTCCAGGGTTGGGGCGAGGGCGTGGGAAAGGGGAGCGTCCACCTCCTACCCCGTGACCGCCGCGGCTTGGGAAGGGTCCGCCCAGGGTCCCGCCGTTCGTTTGGCAAATTTCGCCCTTGGGTCCTGGCTGAGCGCTCCCCGACGAGCAGGCTACGGAGACACCGACGTGAGGTCCCCGCTCCCGGTCCGAAGTGGTCCCTGGCGGGCTCCGCGCCCTTCCTCTCGGGGTACGCTCAGAACCCCCTTCCCAGGTCCCAGTCGCTCAGGATCTGCTGGAATTCAACTGGTAACTTTCCCTGCCCTTGAACTAGGAGTTTCAGGATGGGTTTGCTAATCCCCGTGCTATTTGTAACCTGCCCCGCGACACGTGACTCTGATTCAGCGGTGCCAGTTTCCACCCCGGAGGCCAGGGCGCTGGGGAAGGTGAGTAAAGGGCCCAGCTGGAGCTCCGGGAGCCCCAGGGACTTCCCCATCCCCCCACTTCTCCCCAGCTTCCCTCCGGCCACTTTGCCTGACACTCAGTCACAAGTTCACACCAATTGCATCAACCTTTGTAAAATGCAAACACTCAGCAGACCTAACTAACATAGCAAGCTGTTCCGGGGAATTCTCCCTGAGGGTCAAGAATGTGTGGGAGGAAGGGGTCAGAGGGAGGCAAATAGGATGGCTATAGCTGGGCTCCGGGCCTGAACCCCTGGGTGGTAAGATGGGGCTTTCCCAGGGAGGCATCCGGACCAGTTATGGCTGGGAATGTGCTGGGGGCACTTGCCTCTGGGGCCAACGGGGGGCCTTTCCCACAGTTACAAGCTCTCCCCTCTGCAAAGCTCTGCCCTAAGGGAGGAACACCGGCTCTGACTCTAGTGAAGGATCCTAACCTCATGACCCCATGGGCCTGCCAGGTTCCGTGTTGTTCCGCTTTACCTGCAGCCTGTGGCTCCTTACAGACCTCAGAGAAGGTTGCAGCCAGAAGGTGAACCAAAACAGCCTCTCTTCACTTGGGAAAACAGACCTAGCGATGTACAGTAATATTCGTCCACAGCTGGTTAACGTGAACCCCATGGCCTGACTCATCGCTGCTCCTCTGTCACCCGTCGTACATTGTAATGTTAATTGTAACATTAACCTGTCACCCAGAGGACACACAATGCCGCAAACTCGGAAAAGGGCTTTTACGACATGGCTTTCCGGTCATTATAGCAACATAAATACTGTAACTCAAGGACATTGCGGCAATCTGTGTGGAGGGTGGAGATAATCCTGGTCAAAGTGTCAGGATAACCCTCCTCTGGAAGGGCCTCAAAGTGCAGCTGGCGAACCGGCAGGCTGCCAGCCATGGTGACTGCGCAACAGGAGTGGGCGCTGGCCTCCCTCCCCCGGCCTGCTCACCACGCCTCGTGCCAGAGCCTTTCCATCTCTCCCTTCCTTCTTTCCCCTCTCCTCCTTTAGCACTCACTCTCCGGTAGAGTTGTGTGCGGACCTGCAACGGGCCTGTTGATACAGCTGCCCGTCTGGAGCCACATGACTGCGGGGCTGGCCACACATGACAGACTCGAGTGCACTGGCATCAAGGACAATCAGATTAGCGTCCACCTGGAATATCTGCTGCCTGGGCTGTTTGTGTCCGTCTGACCACGTTAAATTCCGTGGGATCCAGGCCTCCTGGGTCAAGTAGGAAAGACATCCCACCGGCCTTCGAGGTGTTGCTCTCGGGAGCAAACCCGTCCTTGGAAAAGAGAAGGCGTGACCCCTCCTGCCTAAAGCCAAGGGCCTTTCCCGCCTGCGTGGTTGTAAACGAAAGATACGCCCAGACAAAATCCTTCGAGAAGTAGCCTCAGAACACGCTTTTAAAAACGGGCAAACCCGGAATTCAGGAAGTCAAGACAGGAGGGGTAAGCCACGGCAAGCATGCGTTTATCCACTCGGCAGGTATTTGATTGCTGAGCGTGTGCCGTGAACAAAACAGAAAATCCTCTGCCCCCGTGGGACTTATAATTTAAGAAGGAGAAAGGCGCCGAAACCGGTTTGGCTCAGTGGTAGAGCGTCGGTCTGGGGACTGAAGAGTCCTGGGTTCGATTCCGGTCAAGGGCATGTATGTTGGTTGCGGGCACATCCCCGATAGGGGGTGTGCAAGAGGCAGCTGGTCAATGTTTTTCATCGATGTTTCTAGCTATCTCTCTCCCTTCCTCTCTGTAAGAAATCAATAAAATATATTTTTTTTTAAAAGGGGGGGGGGGGAGAAAGGCAGCAGGAGGAGCAGAGTATTAGAAAGTGCTCAGTGCTGTGGGGAAGCAGAAGCCCAGAGGGCAGCGGGGAGGTTGCAGCCGCAAGAGGGTGGTTCAGGAAGGCG